CGTCAACACTTTAAAATGGCTGTCACTTTAAAGTCACCACCTGCGGGTTTCACGCGACGTACCGATTTTCACTGAGCTGTAGACATTCTCCAAGGGAAAGAACGACGCCATTCCGTAGAGCAGCAACTTCGCATAGGCTGGAATCAGGGACGACGAAGCGATCAGTACGTTGGCGTAATGAGACCTGAACAGGTAGATATGTGAAACCTGGTAAAATATAGAAGTTTTCCCAGACTACCTTGAAGAAATGATGCTGACACACTTCAGAACCAGAGCGTGCCAGGAGTCGGTAAAGTTCTCGATGTCCGACCTTACCTGCAACCATTGTTCCTGTTTACCGCAACCGAGCAAACCTACGGTAAGTAACGATACAACCTAGTATGTGCAGGTTTTCAATCAGCATCTTCAAAGCGCTTGCTTTTTAAGTACATCCGACGGTATCCAACGATTTAAGAGCAAATTCACTTCAGATACGTAGTCATAAGAACTCAACGCATCACACACTTTACATTAAACGTAAAGTTTCCCTTTTCTACATTACAGGTGGTCTTAATCTGCATTTAGATGGAAGGATCAGAGGCTACCGTTTAGTCTAGGAGGCACAGGGGCAAACAGAACGGCTTCGAACTCCGCAGGTGTCGGGCTTGAATCCTGAGGGACGTGACAATTACTTTTTAGCACTAATTCCATTGAGTATGGAAATCGGAACAACAAGCCACCAAATCGGTAGCAATTCGCTATGCGAACCGTACAAGCAGCATGATGTTTTGGCATGCTCATACCAGAATGAACGATGTTCATGGCTGTGATATCTGACGCGAGCGCTACATGGGTCTGTAACCCGCCTTGGCCTGTTTATAGCTGCTTATTCAACGTCATAATCAGATGGTGTGACCTCTGTTTCTATTATAGATTAATTCCAAAATAGAATGAATCTTCAACAGAATGACGGAGGACGGTAATTCAGGAGCAAAACAAAAATACACTGATATAGACGAAGCTTGATGGATGACATATTAGAAGATAGTGGGAGAAAACCGGATGGTCGAAGTTTTACAACTTCAAAACTCCTGCTACTAATGAAATTTAGACAGTGGCGCTCGGTCCGCTGATTAATATCCATTATAGGACCTTGGAGGAATATGTGACATCCCTGAGAGCTGAAACCTCTGCCATATCATCAGCACAGACGACATGGCTGGTGCATTTAATGGGATTTACGTAAAAGCTCTACAAAAATGCCGGCAGTTTAAAAAATGATTAAACATTAAACGAACGGAATGTGATAATTTGCAGATAAGGTACAAGAAATATTAGGTTTCCTCATTAATAGCCTTTCTTAACTCTTCATTTGACTCTTTCATGCTGTACGCAATGCATGAACGCAAGTCGAGGTCCCCAATCTTGTCCATTGTTGAGCGTCTTTTGATGAGTGGTTATCCAGCAGTTCATTGACAATGCCAATCGTCGTGAACTATGACCTATGTCTCCCCGACCTCCATCTATCACGCAAACAGATATTACTGTGGAGCCTTGAACAACCACCACTTCAACCTACTGGAGCCTACCACGAACATACATAATTCCGAAACTACAGTTTTTGCCTTGCATTGAAATTCTATTCAGTGTACAAGTTAGTGACGTGCATCTGACTTGGTTAAAGAAAGTAAAGTTCTCTAAAGCAAAACGCACCTACATTCATATTATGAAGATGCTCCTGAGTCTCAGTGACGATTGCCTCATTCCATAACAAACCAACCATTATTATTCACAGAATTTTTT